GTTGCAACTTCTGTCATAACTTTTATAACTTAACTTCCTGGCCATAATAGATTCGTTTGAATGCTTTCCGTTCCTATAGAGTACGCCGCATTCAGTTTTGCAGTCAATTTTTTCAACTTGGAGCTTCCATTTCAGCAACTACACCGAGCTTCCTACTATTTTACGTCATTACTGTGCCATAACAATTAGAGCAAAAAATGCAGCAAGGAATAACTAACGCTAAATAATAAAGCTTTTTTGATCAGATTCAAATGAACTTCCGGTTGTTCCAGTGTTCACGTTCCACAGTGTAGATACTGCCAATTCAAAATAACGGCAACATTTCTCTGGTACCACTACTGCAACGTGGCAAACTAAAGTGAAGCAAAAAAGCAAAACAAAGCCGCACTACAATATGAACCACTCACAATAAACTTATTTTTGTGTACAATAAACTAAACCAAAACTTTAACAATCATCGTAACATTCACTGAGCGAAGAAAAAAATTCTTTTAACAGCTGATGGCGTACAGACCACCAATGAAAGGTTATAAAAATCGATAGATATCTATCGAGAAATAACAGCAGTATCACAGAAAACCGAGTAATCATGGATGCAGAAAGATGACAGTTCACAAAATACAACAGCCTAACACCAATGGTACTTTTACAGCTGGTGAGTGTGTCTAAAACTTTATTCGGTTATTTCAAGTTTTTTTTCTGAATTTTTTTTACCAAATACATTTCAAAGGAACCGATATTTTTCACACAATTACAGGAGAAGCGCATTTTCAGCATTCCTATCTGGCAACTATATGTGCATCTAACGACTATAAAAAACTTAACATTACTGAACCAAAAGGGTTAAAAACGGTTTGGTGTCTGATAAAAAAAGGAAAAAAACGTAGTAATTTGTTCACCGACTGTATAATTGGATACGCATTACCACAGCACCGACGATGATGAACCAAAAATCGATTATTTCTTTCTTATTCACATATATGCATAAATGACCAACGGCAGGAAAACAGCAGTGAACATTAACAGACAACAGCATTATTTGGCAGATTCGACTAAAACAGCACCAGCACTACCAGCATCAGCAACAACATCAACAGCATCGACGACTGGACCGGCGGTGACGGCCAGATTGTTCCAGCAAGTGGCGGTGGCGTTACGGGGTTGGGGGAGAAAAGCGACAGCAACAGCCGCGCTGTAAACAATGCAGGTGCTTACGTTGGAGACCGCTTGCATAAGGCACGTTGCTCTTTGGCCATCGGAATATGTCGATAACCTGAAGAAGCTTCCTCCAGCACTGAAAATGCGTGTCCAGCGTTTATGCGAGGATGTTGAACTGTTCGTACAGTTACATGCAAAAATTTCACCACTTCAACGAAACTGGGTGGCTATCGATCAGAATAGTGAAATTGATTGGCCACAAACATATCGGCAATGCATCGACGGTTTAAGTCCAGAATCGGCGTTCAAATTTGCAGCAGCAAATGCTTTAGAAGAGGTTAGCTTATTTTTTTTTTTATTTAAATCATTATTGTTCATTTTTTTTTTTGTTTGTAACTTTCGTTTATGTTTCATTTATCATCACTGTTAAGTTTTTCACACTTTTTTGCTGCTCTGAAGAATTATAGCTTGATGGAGTATAAAATAATTTGGTTTTAGTTAGTTTTTTTGTTAGTGAATAACTTCAGCTTCAAATTATCCTGACAGCGAAAATTTATTTAGTGAAACTAAATTTATTTGCCAATAAACAACTTTTTGGTGCTTTTATGATCCGTAATTTTTTTTTGGTTTCTGAAAAAAA